TGCCGGTTTCCTATGGTCCCAAGTGCACGGATGATGATGGGGATTTGTGGGATACCGCAGCGACCACACGCCCTATCCAGAGCGCCTGGGCGAGGCGCCGGAGCTGAAACCTGCGGAGGTCAGGCATTTTCAGGAGTCGAGCTCCTACCTTGCGTCAAGGGGAACTCGAAAGCCAGCGAAGTACAAATCCAACAGGAGGTTCATCGCCCAGCATGTCCTGGCGAGGGAGGCAGGTGAGCCCTTCATGTATGCAGTCATCCGCAACAGGGCGATCGCTCGGGAGCGGGTTCCCGCCGAAGAGAGGCAAGTGAGACAGGACACATCATGATTCCTACTCGCGATAGCGAGTGGAACGCAGTGCTGGATCGAGCCGTGCACAATATTTATGTACGGAGCTCTTGATGCAGTCCGGGTAGCTGGAAGGATTGACCAGGAGTACATCAACCCACGCGATCGGAAGTCATCGCCGTGGGCCGACCAGCAGTGGAACATGAAGAAGATGGCGACTGAGGCTGAGACAAGACATCCAGGCGAAGTATCATCACGGACGGGCACCTCCGGGAGACTGGGCAGATATGCCCGATCGGGATGACTACATGGTTCGTGTGGCCGTTAGTGACCCGAACCGGAGAGCCTACGACTGTCTTCGGGCGCCAGGAGTAAGGGCTACTCTTTTGAATGCGCAGACTGGTCAGTGCATTCCGCTGGATGATCCGACCTGGGTGCCGGAGGTAGCGTCATTACATCTGTTGCTGGCGGCGCTCACCACCATTGCATCGCATGTGGATTGCGCCCTTGGGCGCGCATGGCGGATGCCTATGTTCCATCCTCAGTTGATGGCGGCAACGGCGATGCTGGAAAAGCTGCAAAAGTACTTCAAGTTGAACGAGGCAGTTTTGGGCAAGCGGCTGGGTACCGCGCCTTTCAGCATGATCGCTGGCCATCTTGCTCCGGAGTTGCGGACTATTCCAACAAGAGAGCAGATGTCTGACATGTTGGCGCAGTCAGCGCCTGAGATCTTGCTTTCCCACGTTTCAGCGTTGTCCCACTCGGGGTCTACTGCCGATAGGGAGCAGATCCTCGGGAGAGATGGAAACCCATTCGGGAAATCCTGGTTTGAAGATGAGCCGGATGGGGCTACTTGGCCCGGGCATCACATGGCTGGAGGTGTTGCGGTTCCTTGAAGCCGAAGACGAAGATCATATGGGGAAAGCGGCCGCATGTTGATGATGGGGACGAGCAGAACCCGGAGGCAAGTTCGTCAGGACAACAGAGGACCGAACAGGCCCGCGATACAGGAAGGGGAGAGTGCATCACCGGAGGATCGAGCATATGCCCTCACGCAGCTGAATGAGGTGGTGAACTTCCACAAGAAGCATTTGTGCTTCGGAAGGGGAGCGCCATCTTTGAGTCCGACTGCTCCGATCAATCCGTACGCCCCCAACCAGGTTGACGAGAGCAGGAGATTCCGCCCGAGCGAGCTGTACAACCTTGTGATCATGGACGGAAAGAAGGATCATCTTGCCGATAGGCAGGAGACCAGGCAGGAATTGCGAACTGCTGGGCTTGTGCCGGTGAAGCTAGAACGTGCCAGATCGTGGTTCCCACGAAGAGCAGGATGAGCGAGTGCATTCCGGATTATGATCCGGCGGTGGCGGCCACAACCGCAGGAAGGGAAGCTGCACAGCCTTTGATGAAGCTGCTCACGTGTGAGTTTGATGATTTGGTCATCAACTTGAGGAGAATCTCGGAGTTATTCAAGGAGAAGGTGCTGAAGGAGACTGGGCGTGAAGCTGGCAATTGGGTCAGCGTTGACCAGGCCGTGTGGTTCCTGAAGGAGGTTGTGGGGATGGAGAATGCTGAGGTGAAGGGTGTCCAACCATCAAGCCTCTCCCAGTCAGGCAGGTTGAGGTCATGCTGATGGCCATGTACAACGAAGCTGGCGTTCTCCTGAAGGATCACGGACGGGACATGAGTTATCAGGCTGTCCGAAGTAGGTACACAGATGGGGATGCTCCTGGATCGAGATATTGATCGCAAAGCCGGATGAGTACAACCCAATCGGTGACGGGAGAATGGATGATGGCCTGGTTCCAATTGCGGAGCCTATGCGCCCTGATGCTGAAGTATCGCCTTCGTGGTACGTCAGGGACAGGCTTTGGAACTACTTAGGTAGGTACGTGGTGGTTATGGTGGCATTGGTCACTGGTCGGGCCCGTATATCTGAGGAAGACTCTTGCCGTTAGGGACGAGATCCAGATGGGTGCGTGGAAGGCCGCGTACATGTTCGATGACTGCACGATAGTGTATTATGGTGACTTTACTCCCGATAGGGGGAATCACAAGCGGACGCGTGAGGGTGTCAGGCTGAACGTGACCAGTACCTTCTGTTTGAGGTGCGCGGAGATCAGATGCACTTGTGCCCCGGATGTGCGCTCCCGGTCTTCTACCCGAACTTTATTCCCAATGCGGACGAGGAAGACTTCGCGAGGAGCTACATTGTCCCAGAATGGGTGAGAAGTATGGGACAGTTCCATCCGAAGAGGATCGCTTCCCATGTAAAACGGTGTCAGGAACTTGATTTCTTTCTCGATGGGGTCTGACTTGAGGTTGACGGTGCAGAGTGGCATCCGGTTGCCACCCTACCTCGGGGAGGATAAGGGCGGCGTCGACGTGGCGTGGGATGAAGTGGCTAAGGTGCTCTTTCAGTATTCCTACGTGTCGGGAATCTCGGCATCGGACGCCTTCGTGGAGAAGTGGGTGGCGAAGCATCTCATCAAAACCAACCAAATCGATAGATTTGAGTCGGCGACTGAGTACTTCCGTGCGAACCCTGCGCGTGCGGCCCAGTGGGAGAGACGAATGACGACATCCGTTAGGAAGTTCGCTCGTCATGACACATACTTGTCCTTCTACATCCCGATGGCCTATGTGATCGGTGCTGCTGCGGGACATCTGACTCCAATGTATCCGACCCATAGGAAGGACGGAGACATCCTGGCTAGCCATCGGTTGATGGCTGACATCAGGAATTACATGGTGTCATCGCGGGGTGTGACGAAAAGAAAAGGTTGAGGGAGGCAATCTGTCCCTATTCGTGACCCATTCGTCTACTTTAGTGACGACAAGGTCAGGACCGTCATTGGTGGCGAACAACCTGAGCCGCAAGATGTGAACATTGACGAGCTTCTGTCGACATCATGCTGCACAGGGTCCTGGTCCAAAGCAGGAGCCGGTCACCAAGGGCGGAAAAGGAAAAGGGAAGAAAGGTGAAAAGGGTGGTAAGGGCGATAGTTCTTCCGACCCACGACCAAAGTCAGGTGAGGTGTCAGGAAAGGGATTCGGCAAGGGCGATAGCCCCGCCGCTCCAAAGGCAAAGGCCAAGGCTGATGCTGGACCGACTCCGATGATGGAGGTTGATCCACCTGAGGCTCAACCGAAGAAGTCTTGGGTCGCGATAACGGTTGAAGGAGCTCGGCCAAGTGGGAACGATCAAGCTCCGAGGGCTGTTGAGGTCAAGAAGGAAGGGGAGTGGAGACGATGCTCCCGGCGATAGCCGGGGCTCGGCTGAGAAACCTAAGAGAGAAAGAAAGTTTGGCTGGGGTCCGGATGTGCCTACGAAGGAGTCAACGAAGCCGGGAGGCATCGAAGAGACCTGATGATGTGGACAGCAGGCCAGGTGCAGCGGCAAGAGAGGCAAGTGGGGATGATCTCCACTCCGCGCTTGGCAGGTCCTCGGGACGCGGTAGCGCCCTTGACAGCCTCCAAGGCAATGGCGAAGAGGCCTGAAGGGAGTGAGGTCAGGCTGCGCTCGGCAGAGCAAGCTGCTGAACGGCGAGGAAGGCTCTCAACCAGATCGTGGCGAACTCCCATGCGGAGCGGGCACGTCGGGGGACGGATGTCTCCCGCCCCCGCAGGTCCGCTAGGACTCAGGACACCAGCGATTCTCGAGAGTCGAGGAGGCGCAGGAATCGACCGCGAAGAGACGAAGATCGAGACCGAAGGAGAGATGATCGTTGGGATCATCGCGGTGATGAATCGCTTGATCGAGACCGGGATCGAAGGAGAGACAATCGCAGGAGATCCGAGAGGGATCGTGATAGGGGCCGTGCGCGGGGCGGACGTGACCGGAGGAGGCGTGATGATAGCCGATAGGCTGATTCACGAGGGTTGCGGCCGATAGGCTTGCGCCCGTTCTCCGATGGTTGGCGCTGTGTGGAGATGGTGATGATCCTCCCGCACCGCTGAGGCGCGGAGTTCATGTGTGTCCTGCACCGCTGCTCGGCTGCTGGTCATGGACACCATGAAGTAGTGTGAGTGAGAGGGGATGCAAACTGGTGGAGGATACTCCCAGGTTTGCGGAATTTGTGTGTTTTTTCAAGTACGCATGGTCAGGAGTACTTCTTGCCGATAGGCGAGGGTACTAATGGACACACGTTATCGTTTGTTTCATGGCTTCTGATAAGAACTGAACTACTTGCATTCAAACAGTTGTGACCTATTGTCGTCATGTGGACTCTTCTACAAGCGTTACCCCGATTAATTCGGGGTGGTGGCGGGAATTTAATGCCCGGGATGTCGCGCGACTGCCTTTGTGGGTTTGCTCGGGTCCCCGCGTCGATCACCTTCGTGTCGGTGGAGAAAGAGACATCGGCCCGGGGCAGATTGGTGGGGATTGCCCGTGCGGTTCATCGTCGATCAAGGTTGCGGGTATTTGGATTCTTGCTTTGGTATTTCTCTTTTGGTTGTTGTTCTCTGGTGTGTGGGAAACCCTGATCTTTGGGACCGGGGATTGGTTTGCTTTTGGGGAACCTTTCTTTGTGGCTTGTTTGCCCCAACTTACCCATTGCCTGGGCACAGGCTCGTGCCCGAATCACAATATATATATATATATATATTTATATTTATATGCATATATATGTATATATAGAGAGATGCATATACGCACGTGCTCAGGGTCCCCCCAATATTTTTCCTCAGACTTCATCCATGACCCCGCGAGGACCAAGGCGCTGCGAAGCCCACGTATTTCGGCCGATTTCTGCAGAAGATGCCCTTGGATCCCGATGTGGGCTTCCTGGTGATGAGCGGGGTGCGCCTGAACCTGGTGAAGGACGTGCGTGATGCCAGCTGCCGTGTAGATGTGTTTTCTTTGGCTGCGCCAGGTAGTGTCAGTCGGTTTCTGCCAGGATTGCGCCATCCTGGCTGCAGTCCACCAGCGCGGAGACCCCTTCCTGGACAGCGTGGACCTCAGCCTGGAGGAAGTTCAGGCCCTGTGGGAGGTGCGAGATGCCTGCAGCCCGGGGCGCGCCAAGGGTCGCGTGCGGCCTTTGCCTGGGGACCTCATGGCGGGATTGGGGGCCTACAAGGCCTGGCAAGTGGAAGTCAAAGGGAATTCTCATTGGAGCATTCAGGATGAAGCTCTCTGGTGTGCGCAGCACTTTTTGAGCCTGGAAAGGCTTCGTGAATTGGAGGAGATGGTGGTGCAGATTCATGATGTGCTCGAGGAACTGGGCTATGCTTCTAGTCTTCCTCTAGCGGAGAAGGAAAGAATGAGGAAGCGTCGTCGTGAGAAGGTGGATCTCACTGTAGCCAGGGTGCGTCCGCGAATGGATGCCGCGCAGAAGTTTTGGGTCCTCTTGCATGGCCAGCGAGACCGTGACACTGACCTCCTGTTGGCTTGGTGCATCGCGGCCAGTTTTACTGCCGGTCTCATTGATGTGAAGAATGGCTCCAGCACTGAGCAGCTCAAGTACGGCGCCAAGACATTTCGCTCAGATGAATTTGGCGAGGTGTTGCGCTCAGATGAGATCGGTGAGGTGTTGAGGGCAGGAGGCTTTCGTGTCGCGGACTTCCGCATTCTTGCGAGGGGCGATGCCCAAGTCACCTTCCAAAACCCTGAGGAAGCGCACAAGGCATTCCAACAGGCTGCTTTGATCAACAACAACGCGATGCCCTGGACCAAGGCCGATCCTTGGGGCAGACCGCAGCAACGCACATCCCTGCAGCCCAGGCAGTGCTACCGAGGCCCTCCTGTGAGGATCATTTCATCATCGCAAGCCTGGTTGGCAACCAGTGAAAATGCCGTGCTGGTTGCGGGGGAGGTTCTTGCGATCATGAACCACAAGAGGACGGCAATGACGACTCTTGCCGTGAAACTACAAGCGAAAGCACCATCCGGTGTTGACCGGCCGCCGTTGGAATCATTGTGTTGGTGTGTGCGTGTGTGTGTGTCGAAATGAGTTCTCGCAGTGTTGACTTTCCGAGGTACTTCTGCACCAAGTGCAGCACAGTGCCCTACGGCATTACCCCCCTGATCCTGTGCGCAACGTACCCTGCGGCGCAAGTGACGGCAGAGGTGCCTCGTCGAAAGACGTGACTGAGGCTCTTGGCAGAGTTGGGTCTCCCACTCCTGAGGCTGGGCTGTGGAAGGTCACAACCAACATCTACGGGCAGACCCAGGAGGAGAGGTACACTGAGCCTCCAAAGCAGGCCAGGTGAGTCACAGGAGTGCTCCAGCCCAGTTGCCGGTGACAGGTGGCTGGGCTGCTCTTGAACATCAGAAAGCAGATGGACACGGAATTCGGCTGTAACCAGCAAGACAGGCAGCGTATCGTGGAGGACGGCGTAGAGTTTTTGTTGAGAGCGACATTTTTCATGGATGTGTGGGCATCTGAAGGAGCGGAAGAGGAACGTGCTGGAGCTTATGCGTCTTTTGGACGGGCGCTGATCCCAGTTATGTTGCGCTCAAGAGTCCAAAACGGGCTGGGATGTAGTCCACACTGTTCTGCTTTGAGACAACCATGATGAGGTCCCAACTCAGGAAGTATGACCATGACTGATCCTCAAATGACTCAGCTGAGGCCGGATACGCCTCCCATGCGCTCGCTGGACGATATACACCCGGCAGTGGCTCGCGTGCGAGGCAACGGGTTTGCAAGCTATCCAAGACCTGCTTGCGTAGAAGGGTGCAGGGACCCTCACCAACTTCAACGCGCGTTGCAAAGGCGCCTATACTGAAAAACTTAGCAGCAGACAATTCCAGGGATTGAACGTTTTCTCTGCTGCAAGGTGCGAATGTAAGGGCGGGCCTGGACTTTTCATCCTTGGTGAACCTCCTGACGAACGATTTAGACAACTTCCGCCTGTGAACGCTTGTGGATAGGCGAGTCAACCGCGTGTACGGTGGAGCCAGTTTCTGCATGTGGGTTAGGCAGAAGTTGCTTTACGTATGCCAAATATGTTGCCAGTCGGATTGGACAAGTAGATGCTGCCCCCAAGGCACTATTTTGCATCCCACGGTCCAAGCAAGTATTTCAACTGATGCACAGAATTCGTTGGAGCCCTCGTTTGGCAATCATGCATGCATGATTGGCTTTAGAAAGCTCCAACAGCTTAGCGCTGCAGCAAGAGTTTGCAGAAGCGAACATCTCTACTCTTTTTCAGTAGAACTTTACAGAGGATTCGAAATCCATGCGATCAATTGACAAACTACTGTGTGGTTTGCGCGTCATGTCGCTCGCTCACTCACCTGCATTGACCTCACCTCTCCCGCCACCACCGTACCCACCTTCGCCTCATTCATCTCCGTCACTCGCTCACCTCACCCTGCACCTTTTGCTTCTCACCCTACACCTCTCCCCTCACTCGCATCTCATTGCGCTCTCTATCCCCTCCCACACTCAACTTATTTTGCTCAATCTCACAGATCGTTCACTTCAGCCAGCTTACCCACGCCTCACCGCAGCTCACCTCCCCTCACCTCCCCACACCTTGGCTCAACTCAACTCTCTCTCTCACTTCTCCTCATGTATCACCCACCCTACACCTCCTTTTCCCCCAGCTGCACTTCGAGAGTCGAGCGGGTGCTGACGTCCTCCCCATGGTGGCCAAGACATCTCCTGTCACCTCGCTTTTGCAAGTTCTTGCGCACTCACCCAGAAAGCTTGACAAAAAAAAGCAAGGGAGGCGTGCAACTGGAACTGCGGGCTAATGAGGGCAACTGCGACTTAACCCACGCAAGCAGGCCGAATCACGGTATTGTGAAAAGCCTTGCGTAGTGTTTTGGGTATAGCTGAGTCCGGTGTGGGCTGCGTGAGTCTTCTGTAAGCTCGGGGCTGCGAAGTTGTCTCTCTCCCAGGATTGAAAGTGCGATGGGAGGTGAAGTGCCAACCCACGGCTTAGCCCTGAATTTCTTTGTCCCAGTCTGATCGTTCTGAGGATGGCGCTTTGGAAGGAACTTGGCTGAAATGCTTGCTGGGGCTGAACATGTTTTGCTGGGAACCTGTTTCCGCCCGATACAAGCAATAACGTAGCACAAAATATCGTAACACCGCGTTGCATTGCATTGCATTGCGTTGCAACATTGCAGAACGTTGCGTTGCAGTACATTGTAGTGCAGTACATTGCATTTCATGCAAAACTACCTTCTTACCTCCGTACCCCCGTCTCTTCCTCCCTACCCCACCCACCCATCCACCCACCGACCCACCCACCCACCTTCCTACCTACCTACCTACCCACCTACCTACCTACCCGCCTACCTGCCTACCTACCTACCTACCTATCTACCTACCCACCACCTGCCCAATTGCCCAGCCTCGGTGATTCGAGGGCTCCGTTTCCACAGGCAGTGCGTTGTTCGTCCAAGTCGGGTTTTTCTCGACCCTGGACCGCAATGCCGCTGTTTACTTCCGCGCCAAGCTTCTGGCTCAAAGACCAATCTGCTTGTAGTCTGTCGAATCCGCGCCGGTGCATGATGATCATTCGTTTGATGGCGGTGGTTTTGGTGGGAAGCGACGCCGCCCCTTTGGTTGCAATGGGCAATCGGGGGGGCCTGTATCCCCATATCCCATCTTGGTCAAAGCGTGGATCTCGCATTCGTCGAAGCGTGCTGAAACCTCCACTGAGGCCCGAAGTCACCTGCAGGAGTTGAGTGGCCCTCCGGCCTGTCCAGCCCGGCGCTGAGAAACAGCCCGGACCGACCACGGACCGCGGGGCTTCCATGGGCTTTCAGAAGCCTGTTGCTTTGAGGAGTTTCAGCACGGCTTTTGCCAAGGACCACACACGGTGGGAAAACTACAAGGGCTGGGCGGGGGGGCCTGAGCCTCATTTCCTTTGAGTCCAGTCTTGCATGGCACCGAGCTGAGGTTCTGGCAATATCGTGACTGTATTTTCTGCACCAAGCAGCTTGGATTTGTCATCTGGAAGCGAATGGGAGTTGTTGGGGCTTGTTTGTTGTTCAAGGGCTGCGCCGCGCACCGCTGTTTGGCCAATATGTTTTTCACCCGTATTCTCCAGGTTCATGGTTGAGGCTTGCCAAAAGCGCGATGGATCAATCAAGACTTGTCCCGACGAGCGCGGCGAAGGGAGCAGGCGCAGGGAGTCGCACCTTCTGCTCGTGGGGCAGACTCTTAGACCAACCCATGATCAAGACAGGTTGCCCTGTGCGCCGCTCCCTCAACCCTACAGGGTTCACATTTTCGCACCGAGCTGAGAGCCGGAGGGCTGAGTAGTCTGCGGTGGCAGAGAACACGAAAAAAAACAACTGACGCAAGACGGCGCAAGGGCGATTGCAGCTAGCATCCCACAAGCCGCGCAGTGACAAGTACTGGATTTGATGGTTTTGCTCGAGGAAGAACCGAGACAGAGCGTTGCGTCAGCGGCGCGGTGGCAGAGAATGGATGACGAATCAAATCGCAGCTGTTTAGAACCAACTTTCTTCGCAAATCTGAACTCTGAACTAGGAACGCGGTGTTCAAGAGAGCTGCAAGCAATCAACGCTTTGCCCGTACTTTTCTTTGCGGGACTCTTGCTCCTTGCTCGGCTGTGTCCTTCCTTTTTTCCCCAAGAGGGTGCAAAGGCGAGCGCAGAGCGAACCAAACGCCGGAAAATAGTAAATAATTCGGAACACCCCCAAACGTTTCGGTTTGCTTGTTGTTGTCTCTTGTACGCCCTGGCACTAATTCCAAGCAGACGCGCCTACGTCAGCGCAACCGCTCAACAACATTTTTCTGGAAGGGGCTATGTGTTTTGTTGATTCCTCGCCAAACAAGATGTCAGTGCAGAGCAGTTAGTCCTTAACAGCGTGAGTGTCCTTGTGTTTGTGCTTGTGTGAGTGTTCGTGTGGGGACTTGCGCGTGCGCTTGTGCAGGTATTTGTGTTTGCAAGCGCTTTTTTTTCCTTGTGTGTGGGAGTCTGTGGGAGTGCATGCGCGTGCACACACACACACACCCACCCACCCACCCACGCACGCACGCACGCACGCCCGCCCGCCCGCCCGCACGCCCGCACGCCCGCACGCCCGCCCGCCCGCCCGCCCTCCCGCTTGCCCGCCCGCCTGCCCGCCCGCACGCACGCACGCACGCACGCACGCACGCACGCACGCGCGCGCGCGCGCACGCGCGCGCCCGCACGCGCAACACGCGCACGAACACGAACACGCACACTCCCGCGCCCACGCCCACCCACGCCCACGCGCACGCGCGCACGCGCCTTCGCACGCGCTTCGCACGCGCCCGCACGCGCACGCGCACGCGCACGCGCACGCGCGCACGCGCGCGCCCAGCGCGCCCACGCTCGCGCCCGCCCACGCCCGCGCACGCGCCCACGCGCACGCGCACGCGCACGCCCACGCGCACGCCCACGCCCACGCCCACGCCCACGCCCACGCGCACGCGCACGCGCACGCACACGAGCACGCACGCACGCACGCGCGCACGCGCGAACGCGCACGCGCACGCGCCCGCGCCCGCGCCCGCGCCCGCGCAGACGCAGACGCAGACGCAGACGCGGACGCAGACGCAGACGCAGACGCAGACGCAACGCACACGCACACGCACACGCACAGGCACAGGCACACGCACGCGCACGTGCACGCGCACGCGCACGCGCACGCGCACGCCCACGCCCACGCCCACGCGCTGGCGAACGCATGCGCGCACGCACGCACACACACACAGACACACAAAGACACACAAAGACACACACACACACACAAACACAAACACAAACACAAACACAACCACACAAACACACTGCCAACCCCACCCCCACACCCACACCCACACCCACACCCACACGCACACCCACACGCACACGCACACGCGCACGAACACGCACACGCCCACTCCCACGCCCACGCCCACGCCCACGCCCACGCGCACGCGCACGCACACGTGCACGCGCACGCGCACGCGCCCGCGCCCGCGCCCGCGCCCGCGCAGACGCAGACGCAGACGCAGACGCAGACGCGGACGCAACGCGCACGCACAGGCACACGCACACGCACGCGCACGCGCACGCGCATGCGCACGCGCACGCGCACCTGCACGCGCACGCGCACGCGCACGCGCACGCGCACGCGCACGCCCACGCGCGCTCGCGCGCACGCACGCACGCACGCACGCAGCACACGCACACGCACACGCACACGCACACGCACCGCATCTTTACTTCAGCTAACAGACTGGCTAAGGAATGCAACAGCAGATATGGCCCATTGTCGGGGCCCGGCCTTTGCCCGGTTGCCCGTCAAGTCTCCCTGCCGGCGCTGGGATGGATGCACATGCGTGAAAGTGCAAGGGCAAACAGAGGCAGATTGCCTCAACTACAGATCCTTCCCGGTCTACAAGTGGCTCGCTTGACATCAGAAAAACAGGGTCAACCATTGAGTTGGTATTGCTACTAGTTTGTCGGCCGCACTCAGGAAGTGCTGCGGGGGTGATTTCATCAACTGCCATGAGTGCCTGGATGCGAAGGGCGACTGCAGAGAACACGATCCTTGCCTCTCGCTGAATCAGACCAGGCCAACTTAAGTCCGGAGACGGAGATTCTTTCACTTGCCATGCCTGGCAAGTCCAAAATATTTCTGCTCTATGGCATAGAGGTTCGAGAAGGAGGATGCCAAGCGAACGCTGGTGAAGAGAGTCTCAAGCGTGCGGATGCAAATGAGATGGGGTGGTGAGGGTTAGCAATGGATGGGCAAGGGATGACAAGGAGTGGATGAGTGAGTGACAAGTGAGTGAGAAGAATACTGGTGAACGTGTGTAAGGCATCACCTTTATTCTTATGTGTCTTATTCCTTGTCTTTCTATTTGGAGATACCTTGTTTTGGTAAAAAGAAAGAGCAGAGCGGTCAACATGGAATGGCTTCATATTTTTCTTACAATCATTCTTTTTGTTTCCCTCTTCTCTAATTGATCGTCACTGGAGTTGTATGCAAGAACGAAAGAAGGAAGCGGTGAGCGGTTAATGGGTCTGACTGTTGGCGAGGAGTGTAAGATATGCCTACCGACTATACTTCCGGGAGAACATGCTCTTTCCGAAGCCCTGTTAAAGTAACTATTACAAGACTAGGACACGATACAACCGACAAGAACATAGACACACAAAGAAGCATGTTGAATCAGATACGAAACATAAGAACCTGAAGGACACAACCTAATGTATGCTCATATCTACATTACTTGACGACTATGGTCTCGGGGTAGGTGTTCTGGAATATCAAATGTGTTGTGTATTTTGTTCAGTGTCAATGTTGTTTGGGGTTGCGAATGATAGCACGCTCTGGAATTTATAGCATGGCAATTTACAGCTGAAAGTCATGGGGTCTGCCCAAAGGGCTCGAGGTTGGGGCTCTTGTGGATGTCACGTAAGAAGCTATATACGAAGTTGATTTGGATGTTACCGTTTAGACACGTATTCAGATGATATTTGAAAGTAAACAAACAGATAGTAATTTGCACGCCACCTGGCCGCCTGGCCACCTCGGGTTGAGTTGTCTCCAGTTCCAAAACTGGGCTGCTTCACACACCTAGAACAGCAGCGTGAACAGGTGATGCGGGTGATGAGCGTGTTAGTTAGCGTGCGGCAGTGGGAACAGGTGATGGTGGCGATGTGAGCAATTGATGCTGTCCATGTGGAGTTGTTTTTTGTTTTTATGTAGTTCAGTTTTTTTTTTGAACGGATGGGTTGTTTTGTACGGCCAAAAGATGTGGACAGGTGATGCTGGCAATGGCTGCACGCCACAAAGTCGAACTTTGACAGACGCAAGCACGCGATGGCGATGCAAAGCGTGCGAGTTAGCAACTGACCAGTTGTTTTTAACTCGGCTGGTTGCGTGGAGTGTGCGAGTTAGCGTGCGCCTGCTGCCGATGTGGAGCCCGTTTTTTTGCTGTTTTACGCGCCCAAAAAAAGCAACAAAGCACAAACACACCGGGGCAGGCCGGATCAAATTTGATTCTGCAAGGTACTGAATCCAAGAGCCCCGAAAACCCACTGAGCAATGCAACTGACAAGCGCGAAATGCTGAGCAATCACGTGCAATCTTGCTGGCATGCTGTGCGTTTGACAAAAATGTGTTGCTTGATGTTTGCTTTGAAACTGGAGAAATCGGAGATGCTATCAGAGTAAGTAGTCATTGTTGTGAGCATAGCTGATCTCATACTTCGCTTACGTGTTTGGAATTGGGCTGCAGATCCAACGGGATATTCCGCATGACATGGATCGTCCTGAATCACGCCGTGATCTTGGCTCGAGCTTCTTGGCGCGTGGTCAAAGCGATATTCAGAAGGGCGGTCCTGACCTCACGATGTCAGGGGACTGGTGTGGCCTTTTTCGGTTTGTGGTATCAAGATACGGATGGTCGAAGGCCAAGGTGTCTTCGCAAGCTGGGTTTCCAATCCCAAGACTGTTTCTTGAGTGCAAGGCATGTACTGAAGAAAGGGAGGCATTTCATGGCTGTCAGGTTTTCAAGGCCCTCCAGTTTGATGGCATTGGAGGTGCGCCCGAGTCCGGTGCCAAGTGATCGCAAAACCAGCCAGGCTTTTTGCAAGGCAGGGGTCTGCTGTTTCACGAATATTGTTTGTTTCGCAAGGCTCCAGAAAATGGTAGGCTGTCGCTTGTGCCTGGCTCTGCAAGCTTGTCAAAACGCACCTTTCCACCTTTTCGGTTGTTGCTGACTTGTCTGAGAACATAAAAAACCGTCTCATGAGCAAGCGGAGCAAGGCCGGGCAAGCTGAGCAGCAAGCTCAGTTTTCCTGGACCACCCCGGGGCTCAGGATTGTGGTGTGCCCACTGTTGCTGGTATTTTGGTCCGGGTCGGTTTACAGGGAAATTACGTAAAGCAAAGTAACAAGGCGCTTCTGGGCTGTTCGGAAGGCCGTTGACCAGAGCCGGGCGTTGCAGTGGTTTATCGGTTCTATATGTTTCAGCAGCTTGAAAACAGGTTGTGCGGTGATGCGTGGGGAGGCTCCGGTCAAGAATCTGTGATCAATACATGTGGCAACACAAAGAGCCAACCTCTTCTTCCCACTCTCCCGTCGCCACTGGCTTGTCACAATCGTGCTGCCTTTGCTGCTGAAGATGCTTTCCATAGAATTGGGTAGGGTCATACAATTTGATCAGACTGACAGCATCCGACTTGGCTATTGTGATTTGTCATCGTTTGCCTGCATGAGATTTAGCTTTTCAGGTGGGTATTTTGTAAGAGAGATGACCACCAGACGACAATGCTTGCTCATCTCCATGTTACCAAGGGTCTTTGTAACACTTGGGGCAGTGGTTGGTCTTGGCTATGTTTATATACATGTATTTTCAAGGGAGGTGCTTTTGCCCTTGTGTCCTTCTTGCCAACGAAGTGCTGACACTCGCGTTTGGCGCCTATCACGAGCCTTGTCTCCATGGAACTTTGCCTCCTGACCAGGAGGAGCTTTGGATCTTGGTTCAACTGTGCGCTTGGACTTCGGAAGCTTCAAGCTGCTGATCGGGAAGAGACTGCGCAAGCAAATGACTTGCATCGGTGTTCTATCGCCATCGCATCTCAAAACGCATGGTGAGCGATGAGGAGGCTGCTTCGAAGGTCCATCACTACGCCAAGATGGCCTGCAACTCCTCGAGTTTGGGACTAACACTGCTGGGCTATGTCTACCTTGATGGCTTGAGTGTCGAAAAGGATGCCCACCGCGCAGTTGAGATCTTGAGAGAGGCTGTGGAGAAAGGCAATCCAGCGGCCAAGTCTTCCTTGAGTTACTGCTTAGAGCGCGGGATTGGCACCAAACACGACCGAGCGCAATCACTCTGCTTGCTTCTCAGCTGCGTTCAGTGCAGCGCCTTGTTCTCAAATAGAGCACTGCTAAGCTGGAGACCTTGTTTTGTGAATGACCAAACATTCCAGGTTGCAAGAATCGGCAGGGCAGGGCTATGCAGCAGCTCTCTTTAAGTTGGGATGCTATCATCAGTATGGTCAGGCGGGAGTAACTGTGGATGCAGCAAAGGCCTTTAAACTGTTTTTGGAAGCATCGCAGCAGGGACACCCTGCCGCGATGAATCAGCTGGCGATAAGCTTTCAGCATGGACGAGGGGTAGCTGTAGATGACGCTGAAGCGGCTCGGTGGAAGCTGAAGCTGGTTAGAGTTGGTTTTGCAATGTGTATCTGATAACAAGGGCCAAAGGTATCACACACATTGTCGGGATCTACATAGCGCCTAGTTCCATGCAGAATATGAAAGAAGGCGGTTCTGTGTCACAGCCACGAAGAAAGAGACTTGCGTGGAAGATTCTTGCCTGTAAGCTAAAGACTCTGAATTCCTGAAGGACTGTGAAAAGCTTGACGTCTCTTTGTTTCACTCTCTTCAAACGAGGCTTTGCGCTGGTACGAGCGCGCCAGTGCGGCTGGCGATCGCGACGGTATATACCATTTGGCGCTTTGCTTCAGAAATGGCATCGGTGAAACGGCGCCGGATGATGCCAGAGCTGTGGAACTATATCGAAAGAGTGGTGAATTGGGTCATCCGCAAGCGCTCTACAACCTGGGCTGCTGCTACATGAATGGTGTTGGAGTTGCCAAAGACTCTCAGAAAGCTGTGGACTCTTGTCTCAACAAGATGTCGCTTGCGGATAAGATTGTGTTCAGGTGACGATTCCCGCTCCTCAATTCCTTCCACACTTGTACCGCAGAGCCTTGTTTCTGAAACCTCATGGCTGTCACCTCCCGAGGAATGCTATCGAAAGGCTGTTGAACATGGCGACATGGATGCTCACGTGAATCTTGCGAAGTGTTTGATGACTGGAGATGGTGTGGCAGCTGACCAGGCAGAAGCACAACGCCATTTAATAGCGGCTGGACTTGCTTTGGTTGCTTTTTTTTGTTAACGTGCTCGAGATTTGAGGATCGTTTTTTGAATTATTTTGGTTGGGAGGGGCTTCCGGTCCAGCCTGTTATTGCCTTGGGTGATCATTTCAAAAGTTGAAGACCCAGGCCGCGGGAGAGAATGGTCATCCCACAGGTATCTCCTTTGCGAAGTTCCACAAGATGGTGCATCCTAATCCGTCGATGTAATCGAAGAGAGACGTGAGACAAAGCAAGTGCGAGTGGACCGGATGATCTTGGTAGGTATGGCTACGATTTGTAGATAACCCCTCAAACGGGTTGGCGAGCACAAATCTGAATGATGTTCACCAAAGTCAAATGTGCCAAGATCATGACGATATTGGTACTTGTGAGAATCGCCCGAGGGTTGGAACACTCACAAGCCACAACCGGGACTATGTTCTTGAAATGAGCCACAATCAAAACCCGGGTAGACGAAGGTTAGGAAGGGACACTTCCCAACCATCAATAGCTGCGGCCGCCTTAATTAGACATGGGGTTTCGTGACAAAAGGACAGCCCTCAAGTTGCGTACCCTGTTGCCTTCAAAGCCTTGGCTTCTTGGACCATTGGGAGGAATTCTCTCGCAGCCCATCGTTTTTTGTTTGTTTTCCTTTTCTGGGGCTTTGGGACCTCAAGCCGCCATGAGCAGACAGCAGCTGACTTGCATCCCATTGGAAGGCCAAGGACGGTCTTTGATGCATGACACGTCTCGCAGAGTTTGGTTGCTTTGTCCCAGTCCGGGGAGAATGCCCATTTCCGAACTTCATGTGTAGATATCTTCAGTCAGCCGCGGGACACGATCCATTTCAGAGGTACCTCTCTAATTAGTACTCAAGGCTTGCATGGGAGTCGTTGGAATTGATGGTTGCGGTCTTGAAATGGTCAGTTGAACCATCCTCTGAGGCTTGGTCCCCACGGCCATCCTGCAGGCTCCAGAGCGGAGGCGCGCCTTGGCACGGACTCAACGTGAGTTGAGCTTTCTTGGAGCAGCTCATTCGTAAAACCGCAAAGAGAGGCACTGAAGATTTGAGTGCCTTGGCAGTTGGCAGCTATGGGATTGCTGATGTCTTGCGCACCTGTGCAGGCATGGGTGGCATGAGTGAGGATAAAGGAGCCTGTCGTGGTGCCAAAACTACAGCCAAGTGAGCTCAAGCTAAGTCAGATTCTAATGTGCGAATGCTGTAGGGCATAGCCTGGAATTGCAGTGTGCATGTGCATGTTGACGCTGACCTTGCTATTTGGCTCACAGTGGCCAGACTGCGGCTATGGCCCTATGTCGCCCAGCAGAGGCCTTCCAAAGAAGGCGCAGATCCGCAAACTGGAAGATGTTCCCAGTGAATCTGTGACGCCAGGCGGCCGGGGCGCGCACGGCATTGGCACGCACCCGACGTGCGCTGTGGCTGCTCGGCCTTTGGCCGGGTGCTCAGCTGCCATGGCGTTTTCACTCTCTGCGCATGTGGTCCCTGGCCCCGGTTTGAACCCCCTTGACATTGCAGGCACTGCTGGGTGCCATCAGCTGCGGACTTCGGGAACGTCACCGCTTCCGTGCTCCCGCGGAAGAACCAGGCGCTTTCGAGGCGAGAGAGCGAGAAGGTCTGCAGAGTTGCCAGGATGTGCTGCTGTCCTGCGGCCTGGATTGCGAGGACGGGACTTGAAGCCGACAGAGAGCGAGCCATGCGCCGAGCGGTTCGGCAAGGACCTGCTCGAGCTGAAGCTCGCCGCCGGCTGCGAATCTTCTGGCTCTGCCCATGCCAAAGTTGCACGCACGAGCGCAGGGCACAGCGGCACATCCGGCACATCCGGCACATTCGGCACATTCGGTGCACGAGAGTGAGGTCTTGTTAGCTTCAAAGGTGAGCCGCTCGTGAGCCGAGCGTGAGCCGAGTCCAGCTTGTTGAGGCCGCAGCTTTGCAGAGCCAAGAGGAGCGCTTGGCATTGGCAGAGAGGCATCCGATCTGGGCCGTGAGAGTGGCGAGGCCGGCGTCCGCTGGGCACGGCTCGATGCAAGTAGCCTCACCGCAGGAGAGACCGAGGGGGAGAGAGTTGGCGATCTTGCTCTTCTTGTGGTTGAAGCCTTGGCGATTCAGGATTGCTGTACAGCCTGTGTGTGAATCGCATCAGCAATGCGACCTTCGAGGACAGAGGTGTTAATAGGGCGATCTAAGCTAAAACCTTGAACGCAATGAGGGCAGGCTTCGCAAGTTGTGTTCGCCTTGGTGCCAAGGGCAATGTCAGACACTCTTGATTGGGACGAGAGCACTTACCCGATTTTGGGCGAGGGTTTCAGGTATGCGAGGCCAGATGTTCATTTATTGCGCGCAGGATACCGGTTTCACAGTGTTCATCTCACCAATCCAGGAGGCTCGGGTTTCACTCTTGCAGCCACATGAATTGGCCACCATAAACAGCAAGCTCAAGGTTGTTATTGCTTGCAAGTCTTAAAAGATACCCTCCACATGAGAGATGATTACCTGGCACGCTGTATTTGCAGCTTGTGCAGCTAGGCTCAACATGCTTGGCAGGTTGATCCATACTTCCTGCAGCCTTCCTCCTCGCAGGCATGTCCGTGCTCACAGATTGTTCTATCAGATGGCCTGCCGCTCAGGAGATGGCGATAACGTGTGTACCCGGATGTACCTCTGCTACGGAGGCCGTGTTGCCTGGCAAACAACACAAAGGCGTATTACCGTATAATATCATGATGTCAGCATGTGTGACAACGGCTGCCAGGTGATACTTGCGCTGGATTGTAACGACCTAACAGGGGCGCCCAGTGCGGTGTTAACGGGGTGCTTCACTCAGAAGGCTGCTTCGCAGCGAGGTGGCTTGCCCTTGTCAAACACTTTTACGCGATTTGGTCAGGTTTCGTGCCTTTTGGTCGGCAACGATGGATTTAAGCTCCTTGTGCCGAGCTTAAATTAGACTTGGTCGGACAACTAGATCCTAGCCACGGTCGATGCAAGGTCTGCAGGAGTAATGTACAAAGTATGTGTGGATGTCGACGGCACGGCAGGCCCGATTTGTCAGCCGGCAATGCAATCATCATGGGATTGTGCTATGCGCATTGTGCAGTTTCAACCATGCCTGTGGGCGACACTGGTACCAGCCTCAGTTCATTGATTGTGCTGGTGCTCAAAGGAAAAACAAGTAGGGACCTTCTCACGATTCATGATAGCTCATCAGCCTAGGCCTGATGGTGAAGACTGCTGGCCCAATTTCCATAGACGCTGCACGAGTCTCACTCCAGGTTCAACACCACGTGTCTGAGTTCACCACTCCGACATGTTCAATGCCTTCGCTTGAGTAAGGTATCAATCGAGGCTGTAGCCTCCACACGTACGATGCCTTGATTTTCACAGAGATTGGGAACGTGTAAGAAACAGCAATTCATGAAGCCAAGGTTTGCCATTGCTCTGCACCGGCTGCACTACCTCCACTTCGGTGTACTTGGTGGATCCAGGCAGGGAATCTATCAGCCATGTCAGTTCGGCGGCTGATCAGCGCGACGCTTCATCCAATGGCTTGAGCTGGTTGCGCCAGGTTCTTCTCAGTGCTGTTGCGCATTGGCTTGGCATTGATCTGTTTTGGGCTAGCTCTTGCTTGGATGGCTTGAGTTTGCGCCGGTTTGTTTGAATCAGGGCAGAGTTTTTTTGGCTTATGCCCGCTCTGTTTGGGCTTTGCCTGGGGGCAAAAGCGGGCAATTGAGAAGATGGCGAGATCCGTCACAAGCTTGGTGGCTTTGATGGGCAGGCACTGGCTGCACCGCCGGCGACGCAGGAACGCATGCAGGCTCCCATCCGTGGTTGCGATGTGTGTGATGTCCGGGATGACCGTGGTCTATTCGGATGGCTCTTGATTCCGCAAGGCTTCAACCTCACTGCCAGGAGTTGCGCTGACCTCCAGCTCTTCTGTTCAGCTCACAGGCTGCTGCGTTTCTATGGCCAGTGTATTGGCTTTGGCTGAGGGACGGTCGTGCAGTTCACTTTCGGCATGTCATTCTGGTTCCGTTTTGAGTTGCACAATGACTTTCGGCATCATTTCTGGGATAGTTTTGTCCATGGCTTGTGCGATTTGATGGAGCGTCCTTAGGAGCTGGCACTCGCTGGGATGCTTACTTAGATGCCGGCAGCTGAAATTGTGCATGTTTAGCCAGCCTCGGCCGACTGTGCTGCCTTGGGCTCTTTTCAAGATGGCTGTTCTGGGCTGACAAGAGGTTTCTTAGGGAGCCATTTCCACGACTGCCACGACTGCTTGACGTGTGAGATTCAAGGCCTCCATACTCACCGGTGGATCTGACTACGAGCTTTGCATGGACTTGGATGGCGCGCATCGCTTCATATGGGTATGGGTCAAAGTTAAACCACCAGGAATTGGACCGCAGGTTTTGGTCCATGTTTCCATTTACCAGGCTTCCATTTTGGGTACATGTTTTTAACCCACAGCCATATCGCCGCGTTTGTCGCCTTGAGCCACAGACCTTGAACCACTTTGATGCTCGCCTTGTGGCCTTGACAGGCGCCTCAAGAAGCGTTGCCTTCACGTCGACTGGCCTATTGGTGCAAACCACCTCAATTAGTGGAATCGCGGCTCCCTCAGTCCCTCTCTGAAAAGTTGCCATTTTGAGGGCGGCGTGATTCTCGCAGCCCCCGCTGAGCGAATCCGATGCCGCAGGTCAACCCCACGTTCCACGTGGATGGCAACACGGAGCTTCAGCTCAGCACCAGCCTTTCCGATGGCTCGCCTCCGCCTGAGAGAACTCGCCGCACCGAGTTTTGGCCTCCGGCGCCCAAAGGGCCGCGATTGGAGGCTTCCGACGGCTTACGCCTATGTGGGCGCAGAGTGCAGCACGCGGCGGCCTCAGGTTGAGCAACGATGGTGAGGCAAGAATTCTGCAAGAGTTGGCAAAATGGGTATGGGGCACTCAACAGCCACCAGGGGACACATTTTTGACTCACAGCCAAATGAGCCACAATCAAGTTGCTTAGTGCTCCAGGGCCTTCAGTGGCAGCACGGGAGAGCGCACCGCCGTGGAGCAGACCGTGCTAGGTGTGGTCAGCGGCGCCAAGCTGAGAAGCTTGGAGGGAAGGGCACAGACCAAGGGCCATGGTCTGACGGTTGTTTGCTCTGAGAGAGAGAGCGGCTGTGGGGTTTCTTTTGCAGGGTGTATGATCTTGGATCGGGTGCACATCTCTGCGGGGCAACAGACGTGAAAAAAGAAACCCAGCGAAAGGAGCAAACCGCCTGGTGTCCAGAAGGGGTGGTTTTTTAGCCATCCTTGCTTGGAGCCGAGGCGTGATTAGCTTCCCCTTGGCGGTCGCGGGTCTTGATCAAGGGAAGTCTGCCGCTTACAATGTGTGCGGCCTGACACCTTGCGTGCTGTGTGACCAAGGATCTATAGAGCCTGCATCGATGAAGACGGGCCAGGAGTGTTGGAAGCTCAGGTCTGAGGGTTGGCAGCATGCCCGTGTCCTGGAGCCAATGCGCAGTGCACAGGCAAGGCTTTGTTGACGCCGGGCCCCTCTACGCCGAAGCCCAAGTGGTACTTGAGGCTGCTGGCGTGATGAGTGTGTGGCCAGGCAACCGGCGTGACCAGTCTTACGCCTTCTGGTCTTGCCCGAGCAACCAACCAACAGCGGGAAGCTGAGTTGCCCTTGCTTTGGTATCGCAAGCAAGCAGGCAATAGGGGGGAATGAACATGGTATTGCCATTTGACCCTGGCACCACGCCCGCAAGGATTACGGTGACATGCTTCGGAGTGTGTGGCTGACTCAGATCGCCTAAAGAGTTGAAAGAGCCTTAGGGCAAAGAGCCGAAGAACCTGAAAACTGCCTTAAACTCCCACTCAACTCTTCTATCTCCGCTCCAAATCCATTCAAAGCTTACCACAACCCAACTCCAGCCCAACTCTAACTCTACCCACCACTCCAACTCCCCACTCCACCCCAACTCCCCAGGTGCACGCAAACACCTCAGGTTCTACCGATTCGATGATGTACTTGACCTTAAGCTCATGCCGGGCTGGCATGCGTTGCACAGGAAAGCGCTGCATCACTCACTCGGTCTTTTGCTTCCTGGATGAGATATGGCCATGGGTCAAAAGCCAGATCGTACCCCCAGTGAACATCTCAATTCCCACTAAAACAGTTTCTAAAATGGGTGGTGAATTCACCTACCCCAAAATGGTACCATTGGTTTTGACCCACAGCCATATACAAGTGCGCGGCCAGGCAACACCGCCATCACGAACGGAGACGCAGGAGTGCGTGAGACAATGGCATGGAATGGAGTCAAGTGCTAGCGGAAGGGCCTGGCTCGCTTTAAGGCTATGCCTCGGCTTGCCAAGTGTCAGCGAAGGAGTTCCAACTGGCGAAGATGCTGCAAGTCAGACCGCTGCTACTGCCCTTGTTTTCGTGGCCGGCTTAGCTGTACTTCCTTGGCAGCCTGCACAACTGGATCGTGACATCCACAGGCTGGGCCAGGCGTGAACATATGGACCTGGACGATCGATGTTGGACGCTCAGATGGGCGTCCAAGCTGCTTTTCTTCAATGCTGGGGGAGTGAAAGGTTTTGAAGTTTGCAAACAGTGGTGAGTGCAGTTCTGACACACCTATGGCTGGAGGCGACAAACCTGTCTCCAGGGCGGCAATTCCGCGTTTGCACTCACCTCGGGTATGATCCCAGCCACGTCCACCAGCGATCTCTCGTTTGTTTGAGGTGCAGACGTGGACGGTGCTGCAGGGTGGGGGGTCTTTTGTGTGGTGAGGTTGTGTTTCGTGCCAAACCGGCCGCATGTGCCGCGCTAGGACCAAGCCTTTCGGCGACACCGGCAGCATGATCTACACCTCGCCCTTCAGCGAGGCGAATATTTGGTGCAGGCGTCGACCAGAAAGGTGCGACTTGATGAGGTCCTCACCAAGGGCATCAACGTTGCAACGTTGCAGACAGCGCCCTTGCCAGTTTTCCTGCAGATGTCACTGGGCCAAGTGCATCAAACCCGCCTTTGGATGCCTAGGTGAACGTTCGCTGTGCAACCGGATGCAGTGAGTCGACCCGGGGCACAGCTGGCCAGATTGCACAAAGCTGCTTGCTTCGCGGCTTGCTGGAATCTCGTGCCAGTGTATTTGGCACTGCGCTCCATCACCCCTTCCAACCTCTACGTGAAGGTGTGCGATAGGCCGCCTCACTTGAGCAAGTGAATACCAAAAGTTTCTCGAGCTGCTCACCAGTACGGTCAACGATGGCGTCATGCGATCCAACGGCAACGAGAACACGGGCTCCGTGACCCTTGTGCCACGAGCTAAGCTCCGGTCGCGAAGTTGTGCGGCTTGAGACTTGGGCCAGGCACAAGAGTGGCGATCTGAAGCGGCCTTAGCCAGACCCGTGCCTCTCATTCGTGAACATGTGCAAATTTGGATGGTAGCACTTTGGTCCTCCTTGCACGCAGTTACGCATTGTTTTTTTTCTCTCCAGTTATTCCTTCACGACTTAGTTGCCGATGCGTTGTACAATCCACGAAACACGAACCCATGTTGCGTGCGATTCTGCCGGCAGCACCGCCTCCCTCCGATTCACATGAGCCGTGGTTGGCCCTGCCGAGGTGGGCAGTGGAGAACATCGATGCCAGCGCGCTGATCGCGGGTCGATATTACGGCCTTTGCACCGACGTGGACGGTCCGGCGTGCCGCCCAGAAATCCATTTGAGTCATGCGGCAAGGCGAGCGCCGAATCTTTCGCCTGTCCAAAACGTGTTCAAAAGGAGGGGCTGGCCCAACGCCAAACTGTCGGCGGTTGACATCACAAAGGGCCTGGCTCAGGTGGCCAATCTGGCATTTGGGGACACGGGCTTCATGGTCTATGTGAGCGGGTTGGAAGCGTCCGCGCCTCTGGCAAACAGCTCTCGACGCCTCGCATGTAAATGCGGCCTGAGGATCTCTCCCCAGGCCATTCGGCAAGCCTTTGCGCAGGAGGCCAGGGAAGAGGCTCAAGTATCCATCGCAATGCATTGGTTCACATGGCTGTTGGCCAAAACGAAGGGTACCATTTTGGGGTAGGTGCAGTACGGGCTTTTGACCCATGGCCAAACATCCATCGCAACAATGCATTGCAATCTGTGCAGATCCAACTGACCTGTCATGAGCTCAGTGTCGAACATACAGAGTGTGTGTCCGGCTGGGAGACGTGTGGCAGGCTTGTCCGTAGCCGAGGCCCTTATTGCAATCCGAACAACGACATTACTCAGGCTCTTCCTGGGCACTAGTCAATTTAGGGGATGAAGTAGCTGTTGCTGGCAGAGCCTTCCATCTTCAAGCCTTGTTTTTTTCTTTGAAGTTATTATTTATTTAATGAGCCATTTCGCTCGCTGAGAGTCTGCTGAGTTTCCTGTACCAGCAAAGTGTAGGACCGGTTTTGCATGACGCACCGACCAGGCTTACATTGCACTAGAATGTGACACCTCCTTATACTTTGGCCTGGCACTTGAGGTTCTCTGAGGGTTTTTGTATTACACCCTGGGATTACACTCTTGGGAGAAAAGACCTTGGAATGGTTCAACATAACATGGCTTTATTCGGAAATGTGCCTACATGGGGTCAATACCCAGGTGTATTCCCAGGGTGTAATACAACAACCCTTAGATTTGCACACTGAGAATGGCTTCCAAAGTCTGCCTTTCAGGCTTTAACCTACCAGCCACAGCTAGCGTGAACTCGCCCACGAATCGCCTGCCGCTGCCCAAGAGTTCGCAGCCACTGCGAAACCTTGAGTCCTTGTTTTTGCCGTTCGCCGGATCCTCTCCAAGCTCTCCTCAAAACATCAGCTAAAAATCCCCTGGCGTCCTTGGCTCCAAGGCCTGGGCCTGCAGGGGTGACAGACCCTGACGCCACCAAGCTCTACATTGATGCCAGGACGCCTGCAGCCCAGACGAAATTCTACCAGCCGGCGCTCCGGTGCTGCATGCTAGCTAAGGTTGGACCTGGGCGGCGTGTACCACCTTTGTGCAACTCTTAGAATGACGAAGGAGAGGGAGTATTTGCTGGTGTCACGCGGCAATTGGTTGACATTCTTGCGGTCAACTCTTTGCATCCGTGCAAGGCGTGGACTTGGACGGCAGCAACGCCAAGATGGCAATGGGGGACACCTCCTTTGTGGCAACTGGCCCAGAGTTCATGTTCAGTGCATGCCCATGCGGGTGCTCATGTCTGCAGCCAAGGTCTACGTGACAGCAATGACATCTTTGAAGCCTTGGGGAATATTGCCTCAGCCATAGCCCGCTGTCTGACTCGTTGAGTGCAAGCTCATCTCCTCCGGGGGAGGCCGGGTGGTTGGTTTGAGGCCGGCTGCAAATCAGACAGTCGTCGGGTGCCCAGATTCTTCGCGGGAGTGAGCGGAAGCGGGAAGCGCGGAAGCGTTTGATGAGGTGATGACCTGCTCCAGTGGCTGCGGCGCCCTCGAAGGGACCTCTTCACACTCAAATTTGCCTGGGATTGGTCAAAGAAGGGACAAAGCATGTGCCAGGGTTGCAGATATGTTCAAGCAGTGAGGTGTCACAGGTGTCTCCGTGGCATATGTCGGCACTGACTGCGACTACACCGCCCGGTGGCTGAGATTTGTTGTTGTGCCTGAGAGCTTTGTAGTCACCAAGCGTAGGAACTCTGGACCGAGGTCAGCAACGGCGAGATGACAGCTCTTGCGGGTACTAGGAGAGTCGTGCTGGGTTCTGACAAAATAGCTACTTTCTAAGCCTTAGCCATTTGACTCTTGCTGCACACAATTCATCGAGCTGTGCTCAGGACCCCGCATGCAAGCTTCAACAAGCCTGCTGATCTGGCTACGGACGACTATCAGGCAGCGGAGAGTCACCGCGAGTCCAGCGCAACCGAAAGCCCAGTAATTGGTTACACATATTTGATTGAGAGGGTCAGGTTGCAGATCAGAACGGTATGTGCAGGATCAACACACCTTGGGTTGAGCGCAGATTTCTCTTTGGACAGGTGGACATAGATGCAGAAGGTTGGGCATGCAGCAATGTATGTAGTGGTCACTGGATTGTGCCTTGCCTCAGGCATGATCCCTGGCAAGCACTACTCTTTTTGCCGTGGCCTCGTGTGCCGCTAGCCGACGGCTGATTCTTGCGGATGGCAGGCACGGACTTGGATGGCTCTGGCAGCCTGCCCTGGGGCAACAGCGACTTGCCCGTGTACGCCTCGCCGGTCACCAAGGCAAGTCGTCCGTGCGCATCTTGTGCTGCTGCGTTGGTTTGGATCATTGGAGCATTTGAGCCTTGCGAGACCTGGTACTATGCCTTCTACTCATCAACCACCTCAGAGCACCTGGGCTGCATTGGGAGGACTTCTGCCGTTTGGAGCTTCGTGCGGCCGATGAAGCCCTTGGTTTTTCTTGCCAGGGTGAGGCTCAGCTGCGAGCTCTGCACCGTGGAAACACGGTTGTATCTCATTGATGAGCAGGTGGGCAGAGCCCTTCAGAGTGAGATATTCAATCTGTTGAGTAGTTTGATGAGCAGTTGGAGATATTCAATCTTCAACAATTGGAGATATTCAAACTGTTGCCGATATTTCTTGCTTTGGGTCTGCGCCCTTCAGAATCTCTGCGACTTTGCGGACTTTGCTGGCCAGAAGACGGGCAGCGCCGACCAGCACACCTGGCTTAGCTTGGGCTTGGGCTCGAGTCTCCGGGCTATCGGGCAATCTGCTAGGGCAGCATCGGTGGGTGTAAGCCCTTTCGGCGACAACACCGGCCTCTGCCTCAGTGCCTGACCCGCGGCATTAGTTCCTTGGATTGGTTGCCGTGTTTCTCTCCTTTCCAAGCTTTGGATGATGCACTCACGAGCTTTCGCATTGCGAGGCATCGTAGTGGGGTTCCTGGACACCACAGCGTTGACCACGGGTCTTCGGTCTGGTGCTTACTGATGCGCTTGTGAGCCATTGAAGGACGATGAAGAAAGCCGCCCGTTGCCGCGTTGCCAATGACAGGTTCCGAGTCTGCATCGACCTGGATGGAGTTGCCACTGACTACGCCTTTGGTGATGTTGGATTTCAGGTGGGCTTTGCACCTGCGCTGGACATACATGCACACCGGCTTTGGGCAGGTCTACATGGCGGCCGTTACTGCTTCCGGAGGAAGGGTACTCCATGGTGTAAAGCCTTGCCTGTCGTTGGTGGCAGGCACCATTTCACCTGCAAGCGGACAGGCGAGTAGTCTTCAAAGACGCGACCGACATGTTTTCAATGCTTTTGCTTGCATGGAGCAATGTTTGAGAGGAAATTACGATGACCTGCGCTTCCGGCTGTTCTACCGACACCATGGCCCTAAGCACAATTCATGCTTTTCGCTGTTGGCTTGCGAGTAGAGATTAAGGCCTACTTGGCCATCACCTGTGACAGCACAATCACCGACGGCGTGATTGTTGCAAACGGGGCCGATGCCTTTGCGGGATAACCGCTGAGAGTCTATCACATTCTGTCGGCCTATTGGCGACTGGGGGTAAGACGAGCCCACGTAGGTTTCGACATTTTAGACTTGGCAGATTCCGGCTGACCTCCGGTTGACCTTCCGTGACCTTGTGGCTTTGTGGCCTGAGATCTTGAACTCCGCTGCGGTGAACCTGGTTGGGGTGCGGCACCCAGAGCTTTTCTTGCTGGTGCGATAGGGAGGGAATGTGGTTGAATGACCCCAAGAAGCCCCCTCCAACTGGTTTCCTTTCTTCGGGGACCCCCAAAAAAAGACCCGTGAATTCAAACCATCAAACCATCCCCACTGGTGGTTTCGCGGACCCGAGCACCTGGGTTCGTTCCATTTCTCATTGCCTACCGGGAATCTGGGATGACCCCAAGAAAAACCATCCCAACCGGTGGTTCCTTTCTTCGCGGGCCCCTGAAAACCCCTGGGTTCGTTCCCCACCGAACGCATGCCGACGTCGTGCCCAGCGCCAACTCCTCAGCCGCCGAGCTCGGTGCAACTGGAGGCCTCCCCGGACTGGACGGCCACCATCGACGCCTCGAGCCTGCAGCCGGGGCGGCACTACAGGCGGGGAGTGGCGACCAAAACGCGACTGAAACGGGTGGGGCGGGTCGTTTTTTTGGGAGGGGAATCCCCTTTTTGGTTACGGAAAGCCGCGATATTTGCTCTTTTTTTTGAGGGTACGCCCCCCTTTTGGAGTTTTTGGATTGGTTTTTTAAAGGGAAAACCAAAAGGACAATTTCCGCAGTTTTTGGGGGGTGCCCTAAAGAGACGCCCAAGTCCAAGAGAGTGCGCCTGCGCGCCTGGAAGGCTTTGCACCGACTTAGATGGTGCCACTGGGACGATGCCGATGGGCTCGAATGACTTCCTTTGGTATGTCTCAGGTGGGATGCGCGCCAGCCAGCCTCTGTTTCCAGATGATATGCTAGGCGTGTCCGGGCTGCCTCACTACAAGTTCGGACTGAAGCAGCAGCAAGGATGGAACGAGTCTGCCCATGAGCCAGTGAGAAAGACTGAGAGGTTCCAGTTGCGACCTCTGCCAGGAGTGTTGCGGGCCACGGGACAGGTGGTGCGCTTGGTGTGTGCAGACTGTACCAACACCAGCGCAGTCTACCTGGGACTCACGTGCCTCGCCAGATGTGAGATGTGGGCAGGGGCAAGGGTGAGGCACTTGTATGTGACATGATTGGTGGTCTACTGTACGTTTGGCCCCACAACAACCAGGAGTTCCATGCAAATGTCATGTATTGGGGGAAGCATGTAACGTTGTTTGTGACCTCTCTCAATCCACCTCTATCTCTAAATATATACGCATGCATGTATGGACATGCATACATACGTACGTACGCACATACATACAACAGAACATAACATACCATAACTTGCAACTTGCATACCTACCTACCTACCTACTTACTTACCTACCTACTCACATACATACATACATACATACATACATACATACATACATACATACATACATACATACATACATACATACATACATACATACATACATACATACATACATACATACAGATACATACATACATACAGATACATACATACATACAGATACATACATACATACATACATACATACATACATACATACATACATACATACATACATACATACATACATACATACATACATACATACATACATACATACATACATACATACATACATACATACATACATACATACATACATACATACATACATACATACATACATACATACATACATACATACATACATACATACATACATACATACATACATACATACATACATACATACATACATACATACATACATACATACATACATACATACATACATACATACATACATACATACATACATACATACATACATACATACATACATACATACATACATACATACATACATACATACATACATACATACATACATACATACTAACATAACATAACATAACATAACATAACATAACATAACACAACACAACACAACACAACACAACATAACATACATAACATACATACATTACATTACATTACATTACATTACAATACATTACATACCATACCATAACATAACATAGCATACCATAAACACAACATAACATAACATACGTACGCACATACATACATACATACATGCATGCATACGTACGTACGTACGCACGTACGTACATACATACATACATACATACATACACACATACATACATACATGGACACATACGCACGTACTTACGTACGTTACGTTGCGTTACGTTACGTTGCGTTACAGTCGTTACGTTGCGTTGCGTTACGTTGCGCAGGTACATACATACATACGTGCATGCATACATACATACATGCATACATACATTAAACAAACATGCACATACATTCGTATATACATACCCACACACACGCACATACATACGTACGTACGTACATACGTACATACATACGTGCATGTGCGTGTTTGTGCCAACACAAGGATTACAGTTTCCCCTTTAAACCAACACGGGTACCCTTTTCAAGAGACAAACCTATATGTGCACATCATCTATATGAATTATACGAGAATTTTCTTACTTGCGCGAGCATCCTCACTTTGGGGCTGTGCTAATCCCCCAGGATGTTTTCGGGTGGGCCAGGTGCGACAGCACCGACTTTGATGGCTCCCGGACTGGAGGTTCAGGCCCGGGAGCAAGATGCCATTGAGTACGGGCCATTCTTCATGTCATCCGGCATTTCTTCTGCCCGACTGCCTAATGTAGATGAACCGCAACGTCAACGCATCCTGACGTCCTAGATGCGTTGGCAAGCCGTGGTCGTGCCACGAAAGGCAGCCACAAGTTGAGTATAAACTCGAGTCGCGAGCCACGCATTGAGCGTTCCGTAGTTGATGTAGCTATGCGTCGGGACCAAGCGGTGGATGTGGTCAATTCCATTGTGATTTGCGTCAAAAAATGTAATTTGTTTTTTGGAAGGAATGAAAATGGGACCACGTCTGCTGATCTTACTCTAAACATGTGAAAAGCAGTAAAAAGACGAGCCTTTTACTCAGTTAGCAAGCAATGCCGTTCCGTGGAGGTACCATGATTGCACAAAGTGCAAAAATGGGCTCAAAGGATTCTGAATGATTGACGCATTCTAAGATGAACAGAACAATAAAGTGATATATACTCAAGCAGTCAGAATGACAGGCGCGGAGACTGACGTGTATTTCATGGTTGCGCAGCTAGTCTCTGCGAGAATGTGGGTTAAGCCACTGCGGAACGCACAAGCAAAGATATCAAGCTGTGACATTGGCATGCAGTACAAAGTACGATGCAAGGGATTCCTACATTGCTGTAAGGGTCCATCATGTACAATTCAAGTTCCCCCCCCCGAGCCCCCCCCCTTGCGCCGATCTGGTCCCGACGCATACCTTGATGTACGGTCAAGAGCTTTTGAAGGAGAAACACATTTTGAGAAAGGACAGAAGATGTTGGGAAATGAGTAAGTCATTTTGTCTCACATTTCTTTGCGTGTGCACTCGCGGTGCAGGTGTACAGCGTGTACACTCACAGTGCGTGCACCCTGCGCGCACAATGTGCGTACTCTGCGCGCATTTTGCGGCAACTGCACGTATGCACCGCACAAGTGCCCCCCAACTCTATAGGGTCGCCAATCACTCATCATCGAGGCCTAAAAGCCTGATTCTTGAATGTAGATAGTCACAATCAGTCATTCCTTTCAAGGAGCGATCTGGGTGTCTCAACTGTGAACCAACCCAGAATGAATCAATCCCAGACGAAGGAAACCCTGGGTGGGATCCACAGGTTGAATGTCTGAACCAGTTGACAAGGAGTGCTTGGCTAGTTGAGGTGTTTGCCAAGAGGCAGTAGTTCTGGCCACCACTTCGTTCATCTAGCAGTTTTGGTTGCCATGATTTGCCACTTCTTGGCATTTGGACCCTTGCTTTGATTTGGTTAGAGCCAACTCTCCAGCGATTCTCTCGTTGCTCAAAGTCGCGCAGGCCACGGCGGGGCGGATTCCTCGCCGCTGGCCGACTACGACGGGGTTTGGGGCGCCGCCTTCGACGTGACGGGCATGGCGCTAGGCGCCACGACAGCAACTGAAGCATGCTGAAAGATGTCGCGGCTAGGAACCGGAGTTAGCATGAGGCCAGTTAGCCAAGGTGTGAGTTACCAGCTCTGCCTTGACATGGACGGCGCCGGGCAGGACCTCTTGCTGCAGCATGCTCCACATGCTCCAGCAGACTTGCGGCGTTGCTGGCCTTCAGGACCTGGCATTTGGCTTTACGGGGCAAACGATTTACGTCAGCGCAATCGCCTCTCGGCGCATGTGGATGGCACATGGATGCAAATACACATCAATATGTATATATATACTTTAGAGCCTCCGGCTCAGTCCACCGACATTGGCATCTAGCTTGTCTCCTTCTTCCTCTTGCCCGTGTCCCCCTAGTATGCTCTTCTGTCCTCTCTGGTTCCCCCATCCTCCCCGACACGCCGAGCAATGTCGGCGGAGTGTTGAGTGCCACCAAGAGGGTGCTCCCAAAAAGGGCGCCGAACCATGCCTCCAAGTAAAATGTTGGGAAAGGGTGGCGACCAAACAGGGCGTACAATTGCGAACAGGAAGGCTCGCCGTTTAGGGCACCTTAGTGCTGGGTGGTATGTCATGGCCACTGCGTGTCATTTTGGCGGGGTGCGCGGATAAGCTGATTTCTGAGGGGTGTTGAGGTTGCCCCTTGTACGGCATTCTTGCTTGCGAGAAGCGTGGCTTAGCATGGCCCAAGTATCCGACACGAAGGACATTGGGGGCGACACTTGGAAGGAAGCTGGGGTTGGGGAATTTGCCAGGACATTTGGGGGAAACTGGGGGGGAAATTGGGGGGAAGTCGGATGAAGGAAAGTGGGAGGGAATTGGTGAGAAAGTAAGGCGCAATTTGCGGGGAAGCATTGGGGGAAATTAGGGGAAATTGGGGGGAAATTGGTGCCAATTGTGAAGGAAATCGGAAAACACAATGTTTTTTTCAATGGTGTCAGCAAAGGAAAAACACCGAACACCGTGTGTCTCAAAGTTTTCCGCAAAAGGCAGCACAAAACCTCAGCCGGCAGAAAGAGGCGGCGGGAGGATTCGAGCCTGGGACCCCCGTTTCTCCAGACCCGCTCCCCGAAGACTACGTTTAGTGGAACGTCATCAAATTGCCGCGTGGTACGCGGGGGTGGCGACCGAAAAACCATGCGTATTTGACGTGTCCCGGGGGGGGGACTAAGGGGGGGGTTATCCTCTATCCTCTCTTACGTATCCAATAGTCCTCTCTTAGGTATCCGACACGCCGAACAATGTCGGCGGATATATATATATATATATATATATCGGCATCCCCACCCACACTGGGGTGAAACACGTCGCGCTGTTGTGAGCTGAATCTCAGGTCTCTACTCCAAATGTCGCAGTCTCCAACAGCTTCGGTGCCAACTTGGATCTCTCCTGTGAATCTTCGAGTGCCTGCAGGGTTCCTGGCAATTTGTGTACAGGCCACATGCAACGGGCCCAGCAATTGTCGAGGTCCTTCGACGGCGCTGATGTACCTGGCGCGTTGGAGCACTGAGTGTGCCATTGCCCGGCCCCTAGCTGTTGGTTGTCAGGCGCCAAAGATTGGCAAAAGTGACAAAAGCGGCAAAGGGCCGAAGTCTTCGAAGTGGGAGCCGCTGACCGCGCCAGGCAACAAGCGCGCAGATCTTTGCGAGTGGCGCCGCCCAGACAGCGGCCGCGCTCCTGCAAGGCCCAGTGAAGGCGAGCGGCGATTTGCGAGTGACCTTGGGATCTCCAGGTGATACCAGCACCACTAGCCGGTACCAGGAGGCCGCTGACAAGTGGGACCAAAGAGAGGTCAAGAACGCTACGTTTGATGGCAGGGGTTTGTGTGGATATGTGTTTGTGTGATTCAACGAGCGCTGTTGGGGTGGTGCTACTTTCAATATACATGTACAGTGGCATGTCCAGTTGCCAGCATTGCTGCCTTGTGAACTGAGACGCGCGCGGATCGGGAGTTGCAGGTCGACGCAACGGGCTTGGCCTTTGGAGTCCTTGGCCCAGTCGAGTGACGCTGACCCAGCGCTCAGTGACCTTCATTCCTAGGAGACCTACCAAATTTGCGTCGACCTTGATGGCTTTTCCTCCAGCACGGTGGGAGGCAAGCGGCTTCAATAGTTGAAGATGGGGGGATCCCAGACTGCGTGGATGGACTTTAGCATACTGCGCAGAAACTTCAAGATGTGTCGCAGCGATGCCTCCTTTGATTGCCACCAAGTGGGCAGGTGCCACTTATGCAAAGACATTTGGCTGGACTGGGATTTCCGTTTACCTCACCTCCGTGCCTTTTCCGCACTGATTCGTGGTCTGCAATGTCTCGGAGTGAAGCATGCTTCAAGGTGACGGCGGTTACGCCCCTCAAGATTGACAACGCAGCGGCTCAGGAAATAACTCTCACCTGTGGCTCGGCAGCGTGCGCTGGATAGTCCCAGCATGAGCAAAGCTCCCAGCTACGGCAAATAGCGGGAACAAGCGTTCCGAACGACCGACAATGAGGTAGCTGCGGTGCCGCTTGAGAGCCTGAGGCATCAACGGCAATGCGGGCTGTCCACAGTCTGCCACATCCATATATCTCACAAGCGAGGGACGGTGTGCTGTGCTCAGGATTTGGTTCTGCTTGAGCATTTTTCCGCCAATGCTGGCTGAGATCCTGAGTTGGGCTTGCTTTTGCAATGCAAGGTGAGGACTTGATTTACGACGGATCTCAGACTACCTCGAACAGCTCACGGACCATATCCACGTCGCTTGGAGGCACATTTAGATGGTCGCGGGTTCGCTTCGGTCCTAGTTGCTGGCTCGCTTCGGTCCTAGTTTTCATCTCGCTTCGGTCCTAGTTTCCTTACTCGCTTCGGTCCTAGTTTCTTCGCCGTTGACTATGGTGTTTGAGAGGCAACATCCTTGACCCCACCCCACCCGGCATGTCTTGTTGTTAGGTGTTTGAGAGGCAACATCCTTGTCGACCCCACCCCGCCCGGCATGTCTTGTTGTTAGGTGTTTGAGAGGCAACATCCTTGTCGACCCCACCCCGCCCGGCATGTCTTGTTGTTAAGTGTTTGAGAGGCAACATCCTTGTCGACCCCACCCCGCCCGGCATGTCTTGTTGTTAGGTGTTTGAGAGGCAACATCCTTGTCGACCCCACCCCGCCCGGCATGTCTTGCTGGTAGGTGTTTGAGAGGCAACATCCTTGTCGACCCCACCCCGCCCGGCATGTCTTGTTGTTAGGTGTTTGAGAGGCAACATCCTTGTCGACCCCACCCCACGCGGCATGTGTTGTTGTTAGGTGTTTGAGAGGCAACACCCTTTGCGTGTGTCCTGTTGTTAGTGCTCAAAAAGCTACCTTCCACTGCGCCTGAAGTGATCCAAAAATTGCGACAGAAGTGATCCGCAAATGCTCAAACTACGACCAAAGTGAGTGGATTTCAGCTGCGACCAAAGTGATCCAAAAACTGCGACCGAAGTGATCCCCCCGCCCATTTAGATGCTGAATCAATGGTGACCACCAGATCAGCTTCTCAGTAATTCTGTTTCAGTCGGCTGCGTAGCTTTAGCGCCACCAAGGATTGTATTTCAGCCAACAGGCACCACCCAGCAAGCGGTCCAATTTGACGCAACTGCGCTGAGAGTGGGTGACCTGTATGAGCTTTGTGGCCGCCTCAGCTGAGCGCTCCCGGCTCCCATCACAAGCCACCAGCTCCAGCCTGTGACTTCCACAGGTGTGGACTATGACGGGGCGACCACCAGCTTGGGCTTCGGCCAATCAGGGGTGAAGCTCTATGTTGCAGGGCCCATGCTCATCGCCGCAGTGCGACAGCTGCCGTGGCTCAGCTTGGAGCGGATGGAAAGGATCCACAGACCTAGGGGTGTTGAAGTATGCTAAGTTTGTGGCACATTCCTCAGAAAACAACAGCTGTTGGTTCAACAACAATTCGTGGCCTTCGAGCCAAGGCGCACAGTGGATCCGAGCAGTGCTCAGTATGTGGTGCTGGAGTGCAGCTTGGGCTGCTCCGAGAACAGCACTGCCTATGTAGCGCCTCAGATGCAAGCTGTGGAGTAGATGAGAAGACAGCAACGTATCCACACTCGAGATGTCCCCTGACTTCCAACTGAGTGACCCCTGGGAGGTTGGTTCCCTGAGCCCGCAACGTGAAAAAATGCATTGCAGAGCCCTGAATCAACATGTTCCTCTTAAAGCGGAGCGGAACTTGTGGCGGCGATCCATGCACGTTCAGGCCGCGCGCTCGCTCTTTTCCCTTGTTTGGATTGCCATGCGCGAGTCTTCCCGGCAAATTCCGTTCAGGCCTTGACCTGTGACACGAGCTCCTGGGATGGTGCAAAGGCCGCCACCGCTGGCAGCAACACGGCCTCTGTGCCATTGACCCAGGCGCGGGCAAGGCTCATGGGCAAATCTGCCCGAACCCGCAAGCTCACAAGCGATGCTAAACCAAGGTGGAGCCCAAGCAACATGTCCGCCATCCCCAGTTAACACTAACAAGACCAACAACACTCACAATGCGAAAAGGGCTGGCGGCTGACAGTACCAACACCGCGGAAATAAGAAGGACCCGTCACACAATCGCTGTTTGTGATTAGTATTTGGTTTTCCATTGAAGTTGTGGACATGCGCACAACCATGGCAAACGATAGGGAACTTAAAAATCAACGATACCCGAATGAAGTTAGAACATTGGAGAAGGATAGCGAACTCGCAAGCCAGGCGACAAGAACACCGCATGTACGTAGTTTGACCGTGCTTCACAGCACTATCAATGGGATCAACAACAGCACTAACACGAC